ACTTGTGCTTAATTTGTAATTGGCCACTGTGTTGTTAAGTTTACACGTAAATAAACACGAATTGAATTGAATTATTATTATTTATATTGGTCTATGCTGAGTAACTGACAGAGGATTTAGCTGTTAGCCAACACTTCATCATACATTAAGTTAATAGTAATAATCATCATAAATTCTAATATTAGGCTACATTCACAACAAAATTATGTCAATTAAAAATGCACTGTACAGCTTAATTGCAAGTTGCAACAAGTACAATTTGCAATTTGTAAATAGTTCCGTGATAGAAAGTGCAGTGTAACTTGCACGGTAGGGGGGAATTTCAGAAGAAAGAATCAATTAAAATCGAGACATCTTGTGAGAGACGTCGCGTGTATATTCATACTCACATGTAATGGAACTGACCACACAGCAGCAACAGAGAGATCTTGAGTAGCAAGGTGTTATAGCAGAAGGCGGAACAGTGGCTGCAAGCTCATGCTATAGATAATCCATATAGCGGCACAATAATATGTTTGTGCAGAAGCGGGCGTCTGCCCGGGGCTCTCAGGCCCATCCCCGCTTGCCACTTGAGCCCAACTGCGCGGGATACTGACAGGCCAATATTCCATAGCAGTTAAGGGCTTGAGCGTGCGCCATTCTCCTACACACCACCAACCCTTGTTGCCATGGTAATATTGCATTCTCCTTTCTAGCAGAATAAACTGACATTGTTTACAAACAAACAAATTTGTGTACGATTATTACCCCAGAGAAACGGAAATAAATTTCACGTTGTGATAGTGATTTATGGTGGTGTTCTTTAACTTGTACTCCACTTTCTTAAGGCAGGTTCACTGAAAACTGTTGCAAGAATCCGACTCAGGAGAAGGGCTGGTTGTTGATTCTTGTGAACACGGCTATGAACCATTGGGTTCCATAAAATGTTGGGAATTTCTTGAGTACCAGATCATATAGTTTCTTCTCAGGGACTCGGCCCCCATGGACACGCCTCATAGAGGGGTTGAACAAAGTTATGAAAACACTAATGATACTGTACATATTTCTTTATTAATGTGGTAATGCACCACCCCTTTCCCTTCAATAAAACCACAGCCTTTCTTGGAAAAGTCTCGTACAAGTCTCGAGCAGTCTCTAGCAGAATTTTATACTATTCGTCTTGAAAAACATTTTCAAGTTGCTTTAGTGATTTCTGAGGTGGGAATTTGTTCCTCGCTCTAATCCATAAAACTGACAGAGTGGTTCAATGATGTTCAAATCTGGTGATGGTGTTGGCCAGAGAAGACATTGCAGTTTGGATTCATGCTCTTCAAAATATGTCTTAATAATTGCAGCTGTGTGAACGGGGACATTGTCGTCTTGGAGAACTGCATCGTTATTCGGAAATCATAGGATGCACCTGATTACCCACCTGTCCACGTGACCTCTTGCAGTAATTCGGCCTAGAATTGTAATAGTGGGACCAACAGAATGCTATACCACAATGTTGCTGCCCAAACCATCACAGAACTTCCCCCGTGTTTTGTTGTTGGAGGTTAAGGGACCCAACTCAGTGTCTTCTCCTCACATGACTGATTGAGGTTAGCTCTTTCTAAGGGATCCGAAAGAGTGGGTTTCTCCACCCTAAACTGAGTGACTGAGGTTAGCTCTCTCTAAGGGATCCGAAAGAGTAGGTGTCTCCACCCTCGCCTGAGTGACTGAGGTTAGTTCTTTCCGAGGGATCCAACGGAGTAGGTGTACCTACCCTCGCATGAGGAAAGAAATAGATACAACTTCCGAAACTTAACATTTTATAGTTTTGTAGACTGCCACAAGATGGACAAAGCTCATCAAGCCAGTAATTATGAGTGATCATTACTCTACATTGTCATACGTATAGGCTTACTCTGGGTCGATTGCAGATGTAAGTGACACCCACCGATGGGTTTTCGATGAAATTGTTGAAAAAGGCGGAGTAATTATGGTAACCCTGGCAAACCGCTTTGATGCCTCTAGGGGTACGAATACTTCAGTTTGATGAACGTTGTTTTTGATCGTGAAGTCTTCAGTTTGAGTTAATTTCTATATAATTAAGACGAGAACACTAGCGCCTCTGTTGGTTGTGTTTCAGTTAACTAGAACACTGCAGCCAATGGTTCTGTCTCTGTTGCCCGTAAAAGATCAATATTTGTGAATCTGCTGTGATAAGTTCTTTGCTCGTGTATGTTGTGTCTGAAATATCTTTGAAGTTGCATCATCGCCATTTTGCATCATTGCATTTTGTTACATCATCAGTAGAAAGTCGTCAGATTCTATTTTCAACGTACAGTAGGAATCAAACACATGCCAGAAATCTCGCTGACGTCTTTCGTACCCTTGTAGACGTTTTACACAGACGTTACGGTTTTCCTTCATACATATCAACATGATCACGTGATTCACGACTGGCTCCTGTTCTTGCTTACGTAGGGCCAGGCACAAAATCAATACTGTACGTAAACAGTGATTGGTACAAGCTTTGGACCAAGATGGCGACACACTGAGTGTTCATTCCGGAATATAATCGCATGGGATTTCATCTCCTCGACGGACATTAGTTACGCATCATTGTAGCTCAGTCATTCAATTGTTACAGAGTCAGAGGTTGATTACAGCGGGCGTTCAGAACAATACGCTATAATTATCATACATTCAAGTTTTAAATAATATTACTTCCGATGTATTATTTGCTGAACCGGGATAGTTCAGATGGTATAGCGACGAGCTGCGGTCTGGAGGGCCAGGGTTCGATTGCAGGCAGGGAAAAGGGTTTTCCCTTCTCCATAACATCCAGCCTCCTGTCCTATGGGTATCAGGATATATTTCCGCAGGCATAACGTGGCAAAGGAGTGAAGCTGACCACTCACCTCCATTCAGTGCCGAGGTCAAGAATGTTGGGCTTATACCTCCACTTCCCGATACATTTTTTGGCATTACTGCACCTGGAAGTGCCACAAATGTATTGCAGCGGGCAGCATTTATCAACTGGGGATAGGTGGGCTGATGCTGGCCCTCAAATTCCGTTAAAGAGTTACACATATTTTTCACTAGAGTTAAAGAAGTTCGTTTCCGGCAACGACTGGTTTCGTTTTCCTTTAGCTATTAAGTAGTTTAGTATTACTCTTTTTCTTCCGTTTCTCCGCATTGCGTCGTTAATATATTTAACCAATGGATTGTGAGGAAGTGAACCCGAATTTGAGGATTGGTTGGTGAATTACACTGAAATTGGCAGGAGAACCTGTATTAACATTCAGATCTTCGGGAGACCATATCTGCCAACTTAACATCTTTTATATACCCGTTCATTGTGGGTAATTATGAAGTGTCTTCGATTTCAGTGTCACATAAAAGGATCACACCTTTAACATGTAATGCTTCCTTCCCACCTCCGAGTTTCCGCCCCCGACTACTAAGGACTACACTTTTAAATTAAAAAAAATCGCTTAGCGGTGGGTGGAGTCCTACTGGGTCCACTCGGCACGGCGGCCACTGACTGGCCTATTGTACCTACCTCGAGTGATTATGATATTGGAGAATTTAGTGGAATGAAAATTGGCAAGGGAAACCGAAGTACTTGGAGGAAACTCGCCCCAGCGCCACTTTGTCCACCACAAATCTCACTTGACCAGACCCGGGATGAAACCCGGGCCGCCGCGGTGGGAAGCCAGCGACTAACCGCTTGAGCTATGGCCATAGTTTTCCACTGTACACAAAACCCTGACCCTCCTCTTTCGTTGCTTGGCAACCCGCTTAATGACTAAGGGTGTCACTGTACAGAAAGGCTGCAGCAATTAATAATGCAAAGCATTTGATGTAACATGCCTTAGTCTTCTTAATATCAATTCAAGGCTAAAAATAATGTTGTATTAATGTGATGTGATATTCTTCCGGTTTCAAAATCTGACCTTAATGAGAATTCATTTTCTGTTTCTTGTAGGACACCAAATTTTAAGTACTAGTTACGATGTTCACATATATGGAAATGTGTACAAGATTAAAGAAATATCATTGTTTTAGTAGTCTCTGAGTGTATTCCTCAATTTCGTATAGTCAAAGTAATAAGTAAAAATAGTAAAGGTATCCCTGTAACAGGCCGTGGAGGCCCATAGGGTTGTGAGACGTCAAGGTTCCCACATTTTTTAGATAATCGGCTCACAGATGGCGGTGAGGTTCTTAGCCTTACGCGCCGGCGGCCCTTTACCCCCCAGGAACATTCCTTGTACTCATTTCTGTTAGAGGCTGAGTCGATCCCAGGGAAATAGTGCGGCTTGGAGGATTAGGTCAAATGAAAAAAATCCAATGACCTCGTCGGGACTTGAACCCGCTACCTTCCGGCTTGTAGCATAGTGCCTCAACCAACTGCGCTACCGCGTGGCCCGCCAACGTAATAAGTACTGGAGAAAATTGATTGAAAAGAAAAATGCGCGAAAGAAGTATTTTACTGTTTAGCAAAGCCACAGGGGGTCTCAAAATATGCGCAAGCGAACTTCGTTTTCTAACCGCTAAGTTCACCTACCTACCGCCTGTCTCATTCTTTGGAGCAGAGTTATTCTTGAGACATTCCTGTAATTTTATGGAGGCAAAATTATCTTTACGTTATTCACGATAGGACCGCCTCTGTGGCCTAGTGGTCAGAGTTCCTGGCTACAGATCCAGAGGTCCCGGGTTTGATACCCGGCGCTACCAGATTTTCTGAGTAATAGTGGGTCTGGAATGGGGTCCACTCAGCCTTGTTAGGATAATTTATGACCTACTTGAATGGAAAAGTAGCGGCTCCGATCTAGAAATCCTTAAGATCAGTTTTAATATTATTCTCACAACTGCTCCCACATTTCCTGAGGCATTTCTTCCATGGCAATTTTCGGTCTAAAATATTGCATGCCTGTCTTAGATCCTCATAAATTGTACATGTTCTGCCCATTTTATTAAGTTTATAATTACCGTATATTAAAATAAAAAAGAAACTTAACTTAAATACTTACGAGTACAAGCCGTAGCACATTCGTTATTTAAGAACATTTCGTTTCCACGGTGAGATGCTTATGGTACCATCGCAAAGACACGTTATATTCTCATTGTAGTCACATCCAAACTGTTTTATTTCGAAGGACTCTGTACATGCCCACTTCTTTTACTAATCTTATCATCTCCGGAAGGAAACTCGTTCATTTTTTCAACTTCATTTTAGTTCCATAACAATATAGAGATATAGTCTCACTTCATAGAAACGTAATATTGTATTATTGTCGTAAATAAAAGACAATGAACGAAAAAATACTGTCTAAATTCCTGCCAACAATCAATCGAGTGTTTGTTATTAATGCATATATATAGTGTTATGCTGAAACTTAATTTCGAACGTTGTATCACAGCAGATTAATCCTTAATGATGCTGCCGAGGGTTACGCTTGCATATCAACCGGAACGCCATAGCCTACATACAAATAACATTCTAATCACAAACTTGCATCACGTGGACTTGGGATTCCGGCCGAAGTAACAACACTTCGGCCGGTCATGTGGATGTTATATGGTAGGCCTGTGTATACACATACTGCTCCCTAGTGGGTGTATTTACACACTGATATATTGGGTTTTTGGACTTTATCCATCGTCCTGGTTTTTAAGATAACTAATAAAAAACTGGAGGTCCAGTGATTGAGGCTAACTCTTTCTAACGGACCCAACAGAATAGGTGTTTTCCTTCACTGAGGACGGAAACAGATCCAGTTTCCGAAACGTCGTGTTTTCTTAGTTATCTTAAAAAGCAGGACGATGGATAAAGTCCAAAAACCCAGTATATCAGTGTGTTATACACCATCGTCAGAATCCTATAGTAACTACTTGGGTGTATTAGTTTCATTCTATGATTCAAAATACAGAGTCTTTCCATTAGGAGATGTCCAAGTAAATTTATGCATGTTACGATGTGGGAACATTGTACTTTTGACGGAATTTTTTTTTATGTGGCAAAGTTTACTACTCTAACTCCATTATGAATACAAATTTCTTGTAAACTCTCATTCAAAATTGTTGGTTTGAAAATGTCTTCCTTACTTACTTTGGGATTGATATCTCCTAACAAATTTTTCATGTGGTATTTAGGGAATTTATCGAATACATATTCTAATTCTTCGTAGAACCTGTCCTTTATACCATCAATTTTATCTTTAACATGTGTTCAACTCAGGCTGATAAGAGTTCTCGGAAACTGCGGCTGAGTTGCCTTTGTCAGTTTCCTTGGTGCGCCCTCACCCTTAAACTGCTTAATTTTGCGTGAAGAAACCTGTACCTAATTCCTGATCGCCATTCCCCGTTCAATAGAAAAATGCCTAGAAATGAACTGCATAACCCATTTCTTCGGTTGTTACGTGCATGTATTACTTGTCAGCGGCCGTTTCTGTGGCTCAGCAGTTCTTGTATGGAGCAAATACGTGACCATATCCTGTCTTGTCTTGGTACTGATGTTCGGGGATAGGGACTAGTTCTATCGATTCGGCCTGACTTAGTAGGTTTCAGCTAAAGACGGTGGCAGAATCCAGTGCCCGGAACACTGTGTATTTTAAATAAAAACAGGATGATGGATAATGGCCAGAAACACAATAAATGTATGCCATATACAGTTTGCGAAACATGTCACTGTCCTAGAATTGACATAGGCCAGTATATCGGTAGTAGCTACATGCATGCTACGTATTGCTGCTTGTTTTTTTATTAATTCTACACAAAAGAAAAGTATCTTATAGGAGGAAAAGGCATTCATTCACAAATTTACAAATATACTCGTATGTGCATANTCTATAATCATCCAAATAAATAAGGGCTCAGAATGATCAGCGTCAATATTTACATACCTATAGAACTGCCCAAACGTCAGTTTACCTAAAACATCCTCTCGTTCTAATGGTAATGTTCAGATCTCACTTTACTGGTAAATTTGAAAACGGCATCACAGCGTTGTGAGTTCTGCATTGGACATGAAGATTCTCATTTCGAAAAACAGTTGTAAATTCAATAAAAATTAATTTCTAACTAATTTAGAGTACAATTTACTAGCCAATAAACTAAATTGGACCATTCTGTACGAGTACATACACTTACATGCGTACAAACAAACTTAACAATACAAACATGAATACAAATGTATAGATATAGCACGTATCTACACACATTTTTTCATGCGGCTAGCAAGCGGTAAATTTTGGCTTATATTGGAGACGTTCACGCTTCGAGCTTAGATACCGGATATCTCGAGTTATTTCATTGTATTCCTAAGTTCTTATGATAATAACAGGATGATGCCACCAGATGCATCACGACTGCTTTCTCTTCAACCAGTCGGTACACTCTTGCCTCATTTAGTGCTGTACTCTTTATTCATTTCATTCAGCATCACATGACCCACGATTAAAGGCTCCCACACACCAGAGCGATCGCGGTGGCGGTGGCGATAAAGTCTTCTCACACCAACAACGCGGAGGTAGCGATCAGTTTGAAAAATCGTGTAAGCACAACATCGTAAACGATGCATCGATTATCTCGTCTGGAAGAAGCGTTACTTTTGGCAGCGGTAGTTGATGACGAGGAGCAGCAGCAAGCAAGGTAATTATTCCTTTTATTGTGCACAATTTGAGAAATTTGAGAAGTTATTACAAATATTAACATCACAATTAATATATATTGATTATTATATTTCTCAGAAAGAAGCGCAAGAAAACGTAGATTCACGACCTTAATCTGCTTCGTGAACTTGACGAAGAATTTCATACTTTATATCGGCAATTAGTTCCGCTACGGAAGTTGAGCGATACGGACGTACACAGTGTGCTCTGCCATCGCGAACATAGTCAGTGCAACAGGGCGCGCGCCTCCAGACTATCGACCATCAACAAATAGCAAGTACTTATATCACTCATTAAACCTAGATAACACAACACATCTGCAATAGAACTTCAAATAAAAATTGCTAGAGTACGGCCTAGGGCCTACGCTCACTACCATACATAGCTACTATACCATCAAGTATGAACTTGTCTAGGGATCAAGCTACAACAACACCATATCAGCATATACCATTACCTATGCTATCACAACAAAATATACAACAACGCAATTCCTACTCAAATGCTGCAAAGTACTGCAGTCAACCACCACTCAACATACCAATAAACAACCCTAAGCAGTCATCACCTGCAGAATATCCCCCACTACCAAATCATCAGAAACATGAATGGCAAACGGTCCACTATGGCAAGAAGCGAAACAGAAACAGTGATGAAACTGGAGATAGACTGACTCAAAAGAAAAAGCAAGCCTATTGGCTAGACCAACCAACACCTACTCACAACAGATACGAAAACCTCCCTACAGAAGAAATGGAGACCACGACAGCCAATACAAACAAAGAACCAAAGCCACCACCTATCTATGTAACCGGTGTCAAACATATTCAACCACTGATTCAATTGCTGAATGAACTGGCTAAAGATAGCTACATCACAAAAACGATAAGACACGATCAAGTAAAGATACAGCCATTAAAGAGTGAAGTGTATAGTACAATACTCAAAGCACTAATGGAAAAAAACACAGAATTCCACACCTACAAACCCAAAAAAGATAAAACTTTTCGAGTGGTCCTAAAAAACATACATCCGTCCACTGACCTCAAAGAAATTACCCACAGTCTAGCGGAAGAAGGACATGAAGTTACCAACATTTGGAACGTCAAGCAACGACACACCAATTTACCCTTGCCACTGTTCTTTGTTGACCTTAAGGCACAAACTAATAATAAAGATATATACAACATCAAGTTACTTTTAAATACATGTGTCCAATTTGAGGCACCACATACCAGACGTGAAATCCCCCAATGCATGAGGTGTCAGAAATACGGGCATACAAAAAACTATTGCCACAACACACCCTGCTGCGTTAAATGTGCCAGAAATCATTTAACCAAAGACTGTCCAAAAAAACGCATGATGACGACGTAATTTGCGCCAACTGCAAAGAGCACCACCCAGCCAATTATCGCGGCTGTATAGTTCATAAACAATTACAACAAAAACTGTATCCAACATTGCGAGATCGGACGAACTACTCAAGAGTCACACAACCGGGTGTTACATATGCACAAATCACAAAACCGCAGGTGATACAGCCAATCCCATTTGAAGATCAATCAAATCTACCTACAACATCACAACCAGTTCATGAATTCACTGAATTAAAACAAATGATGAAACAGCTAATGGATCAAATGGGGACTCTACTCAACCTAATAACAGCCCTTATCGCTAAAACTCCCTAATGACACAACCACCCATCGTCCTGCCTCTAGCTAACGAGTTAGCTGGTCCGCAACGTGTGATGAATCAACTACACAGATCAACTAGAAACTCATCTAACATCATATCAGCCTCTAACAACAAACCCTCGAAATGGCTCAAATCTTAAAAATAGGTATCTGGAACGCCAACGGATTAGCACAACATGCACAGGAAATCAAAACATTCTTATTACATAATAATATCGACATCATGCTAATATCGGAAACGCACTTTACACAGAAGAGCTATTTCACAATACCAAACTTCAATGTATACCACACAAACCACCCAGATGGCACAGCGCATGCAGGTACAGCAATAATCATTAGACGCAACATCAAACATTATGAACGAGAAGAATACCAACAAGAAAATATACAAGCTACCAGCGTAGTCATCCAGGAACACTCCAGCGAATTAACACTCTCATCTATCTATTGTCCGCCCAAATATAATAACAAAACCAAAGATTTTGAACACTTTTTTCAAACACTAGGCAATACTTTCCTAGTGGGAGGAGATTTTAATTCCAAACATGTGCAATGGGGCTCCAGACTCACCAACGTCAAAGGACGGGAATTAATTGCCACCATGAAACGCAATAATCTCAACTACCTATCAACGGGACAACCCACATATTGGCCAACTGATAGAAGGAAGAAACCGGATATAATAGATTTTTGTATTACTAAAGGGCTAGACAAAAGGAAATTCCTTGTAGAATCAAGTCTAGACCTTACATCTGACCATACCCCAATCATAGTTACTCTATATGCTCAAATACAAAAAAAAAGGAAAGAACCCACTCTACATAGCAAATATACAGACTGGGACTTGTTTCGCGAAATATTGGATTCACTAGTTGTACTAGAAACTCCTCTAAAAACAGAAACCGACATCGATTCTGAAGTTGAGAGACTAACCAAAACCATACAAACGGCAGCATGGCAAGCCACCCCAGACCGAAATGAAAACTGCCTCAAGGAGACATGTCCAATTATCGTTAAACAACAGATTGCGGAAAAAAGAAAAGCCCGCAAAAGATGGCAACACACCAGATCCGACTCTGACCGAAAAATATTCAACAAAAAAGCTAAAGACCTAAAAAATCTACTTCATCACCTCAAAAACGAACATATCCAGGCGCACCTCAAAGGATTAACCGCAACCGACACCACCAACTACTCACTCTTTAAAGCAACACGGAAACTGAACAGACCTCAGGAATTAGTACCACCACTGCAAACTGCCGACGGAAACTGGGCACGAAACAACCAAGAGAAGGCCACAACATTCGCCACACATCTCTCCAAAGTGTTCCAACCATATGGCCCTAAACTTACACCAGTTGAAGAAAATGAAATCCATAATTACCTTGACGCTCCCTATCAGATGCATCAACCTATGCGCAATTTCAAATACAAAGAGGTCGAGTCAATCATCAAAAAGGATCTAAATCCAAAGAAAGCTCCTGGATTTGATTTAATCACAGGGAAAGTCTTAAAAGAAATTTCGAAAACATGCATCCAAAAAATAACGCATATATTCAATGCTGTGTTAAGACTAGAATACTATCCATCACTATGGAAAGTATCACAAATCATTATGATCCCAAAACCTGGAAAAAACAAAACAGAAGTCACATCCTACAGACCAATAAGCTTGATCCCAGTCCTCTCTAAAGTACTGGAAAAATTACTCCTGAAACGACTTAATCCGGTATTGGAAGCCCAAAGCTTAATCCCTAAACATCAATTTGGATTCAGAAACAGACACGCCACCACAGAACAAGTCCATAGGGTGGTCAACACAATCAACAAAGCTCTCGAAGCAAAACGCTACTGCTCAACAGTGTTCCTTGACATCAGTCAAGCTTTTGACAAGGTATGGCATGTGGGATTATGCTACAAATTAAAACAAGCACTACCACATCAAATGTATGCCACACTGCGATCCTATCTCACACAAAGGTACTACCTCATAAAACAGCAGGAAGTATACACAGACCTGTATCCAATATTATCTGGTGTACCCCAAGGCAGCGTGTTGGGGCCTGTCTTATACTTGCTCTATACATCTGATCTCCCTACAACTCAACAAACAACCACAGCCACGTTTGCTGACGACACAGTTATCCTGGCGTCACACAGCAACCCCCTCATCGCTTCCTTGCACCTACAAAATCACCTTAATCACATCCAACATTGGCTCAACAAATGGCGCATGAAGGCCAACGAAGATAAGTCTACTCATGTAACATTTACCATGAAACATGACAACTGCCCTTCAGTACAACTCAATAATTCTCAAATTCCACAAGCAGACGACGCCAAATATCTTGGCATGCACCTGGACAAAAGACTCACATGGCAAAAACATATCAAGACCAAACGCACACAGCTCAGAACTAAATTCCACAAGATGTATTGGATGCTGGGACGCCATTCGGAGCTCTCAACAGAGAACAAGATCCTATTATATAAAACTATACTAAAACCGATATGGACCTATGGCATACCCTTATGGGGTACCGCTAGCAACTCCAACATCGAAATTCTTCAACGATTCCAAAATATGGTACTGCGTGTACTAGTTAACGCACCATGGTACGTACCAAACTTCGTCCTACACAAGGACCTGGGAATTCCAACAGTACGCGAGGAAATCACGCTCTCCAGTAAAAAATATCAGGCACGCCTCCGGAAGCACCCGAATTCATTAGCGACGCACCTCTACGATGAAGAAGTCAGGAGGCTTCACAGATTTAAACCGTCAGAACTGTTAACCAGATTTGCTATCTAATTTTGTAAAACAATTAACTAGTTGACTATAATTAGTTAAATTACATGTAGAACGAGTTCATTGGAACACGTTCTTCATGTTAAATTACTTTTATACTCATCATAACTAGTACTTATTATCCAAAATAGCTGGATAGATTGTATAATAAATTGGAGAAATAAAAAAAAATATCGGCAACTGCGACAACATGAAGAACGATTCTATATTTACTTTCGGATGCCAATTGAATGCTTTGATGATCTACTGAGCCTAAATAAGGGAGATATTATGTAATTTTACTTCTTCAGGAAGTTCTGTTGTTGTACTCATTGTTCATGCTAACACACAGTGACGCAGGCAGCGGTCAAACTCGACAAGCTGCATCTGATCGCCACCGCGGAGTAGAACGCTGCACTGTCCGGAACTCTGCCCGCAAGATCGCTGCATGTCTGAAAGATTCTATAAGTTGTAGGAAATATCTGACCGCCACCGCCATCGCCCTGGTGTGTAGGGGCCTTAAATATGGAACAACTGTGCATGTGCGCGTGCGTATGTGGCTGATCGATATGACTGACCCGCCTCACAGCTTTATCCAAACAGTGAAGTGCAGATGGCACACTTCGCCCGAACTCCACAAATCGGAGTCCTCGAGAAGCTAGTGGTCATCCAGTCAAAATATCCCTGCTTTCTCTCGAACCCAAGGGTTCATTACCGTGTTCACAAGATTCTGCCACTGATCCATATCCTGAGCTACACTGTATTAGTCCTCGCCCGCCCGTATTTCTTCAGGATTAATTTTAATATTATCCTCCTGTCTGTACCCATGTCTTCCAAGTGATCTCTGCCCTGCTTATTCTAGATTTTCTGTTTGGTTGTGGACAACTCTTGAAACAGATGGATCGCATTAATGTTAAGTTTAACAATACCAGCTGTAAACCGAATTACAAGTCGAATTCATAAGCCTATATTTCTCTTGCACAGATTTCTTGTTTTTCATATCTATTAGTGTTGTCATTGATTTTATTTTGTTCGGTGAAGAACTAATCGCAAGGTACAAGTTCCATATGCATTTAGAAGTAAATTAATTAAATTTGTCCGCTATAGCCTCAAAGCGCAAGAAAGACCTCGGGTGTGCTGACAGAGGTTTTCGTGGATTTCAAGGAAATTTAGTCAGAAGCAAAATAAAATGTTCTCTGTGGATACTGTTTAGCTTCTAATGTTAATATATGTAGTGCGAACTGCTGAGGTGGGACAACGTTGAACGTAGGGTCTCAAATAGTCATAGATAATTCCAAAAATATGTAACTTACAGGAAGGATTTTTTTTTTTTTAAAGAAACTGCAAACAACAAAACTGCTGCTGCTCTACCTGACGAATCATTCACTTTGCCTTCGAAATGTGTTTGCAGTTTGTTTAAACCGGTCTTCGCCGACATCACTTCACAGTTCGTGGTGTTGCCGATTATTATCGATGGCTGCAGCGTCTTCGATATTTGCGATATGTTCGACAGGTGTGTAGCTGTCACCCACTGACACCTGTGGCCGACACGGTGGACACGTTTTGACGCAAAGTGTCATGAATAACAGGGATTTTATTCGTTATTTGTTGTAAAATAATAATTATTGTTTTAACAGAGCCTAAAATTAATATTTAATATGGTAAAGGTCAATAATTGTTGGTATCATATGCAGTCTTCTATTTTTGTTGAAGTAAGTTGGCCATTCTCGTCTGGTTTGGTCGTCTCTAACCTAAATATGTAAATTTGTATCATGGAATGTTAAATTTGGTAATATACGGAAAATTGGTTTAGAGAGTCTTTTGAAGCAGGAGAACAGCTTCTAAAGAAAGAGAGCAGAACGTAAACGGAGCACTTTACGATCCCGCGTTTATGAATTTGAATGCAGTGAAAAAATACGTCGTTGAGTGTGCATCTTACAGTTTTAATTCTTGTAATCCGAACGGGTTAACAGCATAATTTATAATATTGGTGATGAATACAAATACAAATATATAATATAAGTGCAAATAGAATAATGAATATAGATACATATATTTCTACATGGTGAAATACAAATACATTTCATTGAATAGTTAAGTTATGACATATAAAATGCACAGTTTGGTATTTGGTAGACTGCATTTAGCTCTGGAAGTTTGTTAGTCCCAACATTTTACTGTAAAAATGTTTAAGTTAAGTCATAAACATGTAAATGTTTTTCAGACATGCCTGTAGTTGAATATCAAGTTTCATCTTTAACAAAACTTTATCTGAGTCTAATCATTGTGAATTATCAGTGGAGTGTGGCATATAATTTCACCGAGATTAACCTACCTGAAGAACATATTCCGTACTACTTTAACAGTTACCCTGAAGTAGCTGAGAAATGTAAATTAGATTCAGCATGTCCATATAAAGTAAGTGTTGACTTTACATATGTGTAACATTTATGAAGTCTTGAATCTACAGAATTATTTGTATTGATACCATCTTAATATTACTAAACCATTAATGAAACAGAAGAATGTTGACTTCAAAGTGAAGTTCCTATCAGATGAACTGAAGATAAAAGTCATTCTCATCTTCCTTGAACTGTGGATGGTAGATATTTTGTGTGAATGGGGGTCTTCATTAAGAAGAAGTGAATGCACTTATAGCCGTATACACGCTATTACTTTTAAAGTAGGTCACTCTGACATCTTAAAAGTAGAACATGCTGATATTAAATATGTCTGAAATAATTGAAAATTTATGTTTTAGCAGTGGCCAAAAGTTGTTGCTCCATGAATACAAATCAGTCACAGTTGTCATAAGTGGAAATAAAACATAACTAAGATGAACTGCTATTTTGGGAATGAAATTGCTAACACAAGAAAATTTTCTTTTACAGGATCAGCTTAATCAAAAAGCTTGTTGGGGTTATGAACAAGGATGTAAACTCCAAGATTCATATTCCATGCCCTCATGTCCTGGAGATCATAAGGGTTGGGTTAAAACAAAACTAGATCAGCTTAAAACTTTCTATACTCAGGGAGGTTTTGGCTATGTACAGGAGCAGCGGCAAGAAATGATGGTCATGTGTGAACCAACGTTTATGGTAGTTACTATGAATGGTTTCCTTCTTTTAGAATATATATTTTTAATAATCTTCATTTCTTTTACACAATTTGTATACTTGTAATTTGTTATTTTAAAAGGCATACTTTAAAAATGAAAGTATGTAATATGCCTGTTTGTTACTTTTCAGGAAGATTCTTCTCTTGAATGTACAAAACATCTTCGATTTTGTAGAGGCCGAAACCTCATGTTAAACTTTACAGATTTATCTTCACGCAAAGAACAGTTGCGGTATAAGATGGATGTTCTAAAAGAAGGTCAAATTGGAGGTTACTGTCGGTGAGCTATAGAATTGAACTTTTATAATAATTGTAATAATCATATCTCAGATGTCAAGTTCTGGATTGTGGATTAATTGTGGCACCATAAAAGTACATAAAAAGTCTCCTTTTACTTCACCTGTCCTATCTGGCAAGTCAACTGGAAATGGGTTTTACTGAAAATCAGAGGAACTGTTTTATAAAAGAATCAAAAATTCAGATTTGTTCTCCAGGTACACCTAATCCTTGCTTTATAAACAGGTTATGTTCCAAAGCCCTGTTTGTAAGATGAGTCATTGTTAAGTTAAAACGTGCTTTTTTCCTATAATAAATAGTGTAACTAACAGTATCTGAGCACTTGAACTTATAATTAAAATGATTGATGTGTAATACTGTATATTGTATGTACCTCACAAATGAATATTAAAGAGCACTTTACACATCCATAGACAAATAAGTTGGAATATAAGTAAACAGTTCTTATGCCATTTGTATGTACAGATGTTTTTATGCTGAGCGTTTGTATGTCGAGAACCAAATGTATGCAAGAAATAAGAAACATGCATACTTTATGTATTGTTCATGATTTCACCAAGTTACTGTAGCACTGTTATATTTTAGCGTCCTGTTGCACTGATTTAAGTCCATGATTTATTTCACCGTGTTCTAGTGCATACACTTATCTACCTCACTCCTCTCTCTCGCACTACATGTTTCAGCACAAAAGTGCCTTCTTCAGGTGCTTATTCGATTAACGTTAAACTAGTTCACTGCATGCCTTGTCGTCTTCATATTAAAATAATTAAAATATATATTTATCATATATGTTGATAAATATTAACTATTAAAATTGTTCAGGATTTTTCCTACGTCGTATCTCACTACTCGAGTCACATCTATCCTCTTCTGTCGGAGCACTCTTTCTATTTTCGTGTGTGTATTGTGCTTTATATTGTGTCTTGCTCCTGTGACTGCATGTGTTATACTGCTGGGCCTGCTGGGTATGCAATTTCAAGAAAATCAGTAGTAGCTGATAGTAATATATCAATGGATTTGCCATGAAATGTGTTATCATAGCTCCTCTGATTACCCTTCCATCTTGCTGATTTACAGTAAATTCATTGCATGTACCTATTTTTTTTTAATTTGCTAAGTGAGGGGGGGGGGTGGAGTCCAACTGGGTCCACACAGCACGGCAGCCACTGATTGGCCTATTGTAGCCTGCCCCGGGTGATTATGATGATGGAGAATTTGGTGGAATGAAGATTGGCAGGGGAAACTGAAGTACTCGGAGAAAATCTGCCCCAGTGCCACTTTGTCCACCACAAATCCCACTTGACCAGACCCAAGATTGAACCCAGGCCACCGCGGTGGGAAGGCAGCGACTAACCGCTTGAGCTATGGCATGGCCTTTGCATGTACCTAAATAATACACTCATATCATGTGTAAATCAAGTGTACTCGTATATTTCAACTGCCATAGCCAGGGGCTCATTTGCCTGTTCTTGTTTCCCTTCATTTTTCCAGACACATACTAGGATGTCACTTATTGAGTCCATGGTCACTTCACCTTCTCTTATTTGCAGAAGGTAATGACTGAAATTAAAATTGCTGTATGTAACTGGTCAGGATACTTCTCTCTACTTAATTTTCTGTCCTGAAGATGGAGGCAGCACATTCCTCCAGAACATGGACAAAACGTGGCATCACATCCCAGAAGACAGCTATCTTCAGGATGCTTATGCTGGAACTGTGGCTCTGTGGGCTAACTGTATGGAGCAGTGCCATTCTTAAGAAACTAATGGCATATATCTGCACACCTATCAAGTATCATGCTTGAGACAAATGTGGATGTGTTCTGTATGAAGTTAAGGTTTTTATGATGATGGAAATGTTAGATTGTGATTTGGTATGTTAGGACAACAAGTTATCGGTGAATGGTTACCAGTATTGGAAGAACTGGCTGCCTCCATCTTCACCTTGAGAACCAAGTACAAGGTTATTTGGCATAATATTTCAGCAGACTACAATATAAAAATGAAGATGCTCTGTTCCACCATGTTTTCAGGCTACATAAATCCAGGTTAGAAAATGAATGTGATCAGATTAGCCCATTGCAATCATGGGGACCAGAGTTGCGTTATTTTACTGAACTACAAAGGCGGCCAATTATGGAGAAAGACTGTGATATTACAATAGAGAAACCTACTTTTATATTAAAAATTGATGCAAGTAAGTGGAACTTTTCAATTTTTAAAGAATATGGTATATAAAAATATTTTTGACAGTAAAATTGGATGGTTAAACTACGTGTGTGTATATATATAAAACTGTGCTCAACACTGAACATTAAAGTGATATTTAATAGTCTTTCAATGCAGCTGAATTGAAGCTGAAGCACTGAACATAATCCTGAAAGAGTTCTATTGTCTCCAACCCTTACCTATTGCCGCTGAGTTGAGGTTCTCTTTAGCTTAGGCTTCCATCTGTTTCTGCCTCATAGTTTTTAAGTGTAATTTAGCTAGCATGAAATGATGCAAGTCATAACAGTTTTCTCTAAGTTTCACTGTCATTATACTGTTTTGTTCTATTATTCCACATCATTATACCAAGAAGTAACCTTTACGTGACTAACTCCATGGCAAAGGACATTTCTTGAAATGTGTGTATTTTCTCAGGTGGTCAAGAAATGTCTTGACCACAGGGAACATACATAACATGTTGTAAAAGTGTTAGATTGTTCCAAGATTAGAAAATATCAGTCCCAACCCTCACTGTGAAAAATTAAATGTTGTACTAATTATTAAATTAAAGAATGAAAATTAACCTCATTTTGGTTGCAGCAGTCAACATGTACCATCATTTCTGTGATTTTTTTAATTTATATACATCACTGCATGTCAACTCTTCACATCCAAGCACTTTTTCAACTGATGTTCACATCTTAATATGGGAAACTTACACGTACCAGTCCAGTTTTAGAGCAGTGTGGGAAGCTTTTACGTCACATCCCATATGGGACCTTAAGACATTCCGCGGAGAAACTGTGTGCTTCAAGAACCTTGTTTTTCCACTACTGCCCAGGATGATTTTTGGCCTTTATTATAACACGCCTATTGTGAGTAATAATAATTTTATGTAAGATTTGAGGTTTTCATGGCAGTGACTGAAGAAAGCTGTCTTCAGGGATGTGGCGCCATGTAAAATTGTGTTAACCAACATTGGCTAACACAATTTCTACACAGCGCCACATCCCAGAAGAAGGATTTCTTCATAATAATAATTTTACTTTGTATGTCACAAGTTATGTATTAATATATTTATATGTTTAGAATATGAACAGAAATATTAAGAGACATGAACAGTATTATAGCATACATTTGGGGTGCTGTGTGAAATATTTGTTGATATTCAGAATAACTTTATTTTAGGAATAAAATAGTAATAAATTAATAGTTAATGAGCACTAAGTGATAGTTAACAACGGATAAACCTACAGAGCAGTCATATGTGCAGTGTTTTCTAGACTTGGGAGTGGCATGTTTTGAAAGAATCAGTTTGACCATTCTTTCTTACAATAAAGGTAGTTAATTTCTTTGATAAATATTTGCTGAGATAAGGAGTTGCTGTATTTGATATAAGAAAATTATTTACTATGGATGTGACTTCTTAGCTGGCAGGCATTTACAAATGCAAAAATCCATCCCTGCATGTTGAAAATGAAAAATTGTGTGTACTGTATGCTAACATAAATTTTGTATTTTTTAATAAAATCTGAAACACTTCAAAGGTACCAGTTTTATTTATGCCTAATGTGGAGATACATCTTCATGGTGTGGTGCCTATTTAATTAAGTACTGAGACAACTTTAACTCTAAATTTGCATTTCATCAGAAATGCTGTGTTATAACATTTCACATCATTACAGATCTGGGGATGTGAGAAGAGTGGCCTCTTCCATGCATTCTCAAAACATATCCTGCATCGATTAAGAATACCTGTACATAAGCGTTCAGATAGAAAAATCCATGTTACATTACTGTCCCGAGATACCGCGTACAGGAGAATTTTAAATGAAAAGGAACTTATTGAAGGGTTACAGAAGAATCCTGATTATGTTGTAAAAAGGGTAAGTATGTTTTTTTTTTATTATTTCTGTTTATCTATACTTTATACTCTATTTGTATGCAAAGAAGTATTTACTGCACGCACACTCCAAGTGGACACAACAGAGAAAGGCAGAACATTGACATTTCATGTCAATTTCCCAACAAACTTCACTTAGTTTGCATACTTTAAGTATTTAAAGTTAAAATTGCCAGGTAGTCAGTTTAAATTTCATTTTTATTTAAGCTTGCAGTACCTTCAGTGTATCCCTTAAAAGGAGCTAGGATAGCTAAGTTAGAACAGTGATTAGGCCATGGACTTGTACTGTGGCCACTTCTGGCCTATTGTACCAGCCCCAGATGATAGGTGAGGGTGATTGTGGAGCAATTGGTGGAATGAAGATTGGCAGGGAAAACCGAAGTACTCGGAGAAAACCTGCCCCAGCACCACTTTGTCCACCACAAATCCGTCTTTACCAGACCCAGGATCAAGCCACCTGGGCCACCGTGGTGGGAAGCCAGTGACTAACCGCTTGAGCTGTGGCGCGGCCTTGGCCATGGACTTAGTGACTGAGGAATCAGGCTGTGATTCCTGGCAGTCACAAGAGTGTTCTCATTGTGTACAGCATCCGAACAGGTTATGGGGCCTATTCAATGGGTAATAAGGTCTCCTTCACAGGATAAAACAGCCAGGGTGTGACGCTAACCACTCACTTCCATCTTACTGCCCAGATCAGGAATGCATGGAGCTATACTTTATTCCCATATACATCTTAATGGCGTGATGCTTAATTAGGTGCAAGGATAACTTTACCTCCTTTTATTCCATTGTGTCAAAAAACAACCAAGGTAAGTTTGAACATTAGCTGATAGAGCATTGCTATGGTTTTCATTTAACTGAAATTCTGTAAATCTCATAGTTAACATGAAATTAATAAATTGGTGTTTCTTCATAGGTTGTCTACAACAGGGATATGGACTTCAAGAAACAGTTAGAAAGTACATATAACACTGATATTTTCATTGGAATTCATGGAGCTGGCCTATCCCATTTGATGTTCTTACCAGATTGGGCTGTGCTATTTGAATTGTATGTTTCAATGCAAAGTCATTACTGTTTATTTTTGTATGAAGTTATACAATTTTGCGAATTTGCACTTTTAATTTGATTCCTTCTCTCTGCACAGTATGTCATAATCTACCATATTTTACTTACAGATCTAGTACTCATAATTTCTTAATTCAGCCTTGAACTTGTTGTTTCTTCATTTGTACACATATTTAGAGGCTTACAAACTTATTGTTTATAGTGTAAAACTTGTTAGAAGATTTGTAGTGCACATTATTCACGGATTGAAAATGTCATTTCTGGAACATTCTAATGGATCTTCTGTGCATTTTGTCAGCCTTTAATGTATAATACATGATATATTAAATCATATCTTAATTGTATTCCAGATATAACTGTGAAGATGAAAATTGTTACTTAGACTTGGCCAGACTGAGGGGAGTAAAATATGTCACTTGGCAAGATAAAAGTAAACTTATACAAGAAGATGAGGTGAGAAAATAAAGTATGACAAAACCTGCTTAAAACAATCCCTGAAAGAAATTTGTTTTAAATGTAATATTTTGATGCTAAGGATGTCCGAGATTATTAACTTTTACTGTTATGGGAAGATCCTTCTGTATATATCAAGATGTAAATGCTGTAGTACAAATGTGTCTGTTCAATTATGTAAATTGAACATCTGTAAACTGTAAAATTGTTGTGCGGTTATGCTTAAAACAACATGCGAAAAATTATTGCCCTACCCCCATTCATATTCCTTCACATGTAAGGGATTTTCTTATGTGTTATTGAAATGGCATACAAAAAAGAACCATAACTAATGAATGAGAGCAAAATATATCCTGGGTAAACAGTCGTTTGACAGCTGTGAATATTTTAAAACTTATATATTGGCAAGGCATTGAATCGCTTGAAAACATTTCCAAAGCAGTGATGGTTAGAGCTTCGTTACAATTATGGCCATACTCAACAGCCATTTCACCCATTTGGTATGCTTTTAAGCTATGATTATGCTTTTGAAGTATCAATCAATCAGTTTATTTGTTCTGAGAATCCATATTTTGAGATGCAACCTCTGGATATAGAACAAGTCAGTTACTACATATTAAAACAACATACATGTCATACATGAGTCAGCAATACTATGAAACTTAATTACCTACAGATTTCATACAAATCAATCATACAATACATCGTCCCACTTTCAACAATTCAGTACCAAAAGAAACCCAACATCCAACATTTTCTTTTATTGATTAAGTGAGGACACGATATTTGTCATAACATAAAACCATAACACGCTCACTTTAAAATTTTAGGGACATAAATTCATCAATGGAATGTTTCAACAGAAAGGATTTTAAGTCCCTGTTAAGAGAGTTATTTTATTTTATTTTATTGTTTTTTTTTT